GAGAGAGAGAGAGAGAGAGAGAGAGAGAGAGAGAGAGAGAGAGATGAAGTGGCCACCATAGATGCGTGTGGCGGACACCCGCCCAAAAGATGCAAGGCATGGTTAGGGCATATGGAAAATATTTCTGCTGGTATTCAACTGCTATCCAGTAGGGGCATACTGGAAATTTTGCACAGGTACCGGTAGAAGCAAATCGAACATATTTCAGGCCCAAGCGACACCATGTGTTTTTCGAAAACTTTAGTCTTCGTCAGAGGGGTAAATCAGGGTAAGTCAGCCGTCTGAGGGGTATTTCGGAAATAAATGCAACTTTCAGGGGCATTTCGAAGATTTTCCCAAAAAGCGAATAGTAGTAAGGTCCATTCTTCTGCTCCTCTACTTTATGGTCTACAGGTATCGGGACCCTCACGTGGACCATATACACTTAGACTGAACGAACATTTCTAATGCACTGGGACCATCACAGCTCCAGGGATGGCCACTATTTTGCCTCGAAGTTTCGAAATCTCTTTGTTTTTCTTTCCTTTTTTTTTCAGTTGCAAGACGCTGCTCAACTGTTTCCGCGATGTTTCCTATGCATGCAGAGGAAAAGAGAAAAGGAAGTGAACAGGGGCCTCTCTTCATTCCAAATAGACTAGTGAGAGGATGAGATACATGCCTACTAGCAAGAAAAAATGAGATAGATGAGAGAAGAATATAGCTTTAAAATTAAAAAAAAAAAAATCTTCCTCTAGACATGGAAAGATACACCGCCATAATTTGTCTTTCGTGCATCTGGTGAGTGGTTGAGCGGGACCACAACGCACTGTGATGAGCGAATGTATGGGCCTCGGTGCACTACTCTAGACTCTCGAAATATTTCGAGAGTTCGGCTAGCATTGTCAGAGAGGCGAAACTCTCGAAATACCCGCCTTCGCTGCACTTACTCTACAACCTATTACATTAGGTGAACTCTCGAAACCCTGGGCGTCGTCCTACCCTACAGAACAGCTGCACCACTGCGCTACGGGACAAAGTCTGGCCGCTGGGACAGGAGGTCCACTCTCGAAAAACGAGCCCGTCGGCGGGCAACTCCCGAGGACACTTCCAAATTCAGTTCTTGCAGGCGGGGGACTCTCGACATTTCGAGAGTTGCGTTATAGTGTGGCTTCTGCAGCTCTCGATCAGGTTTCGAGAGTTTCCCGATCAAGAGTAAGTGCACCGATGTCCCACTCTCGAAAATTCAAGAGTCTAGAGTAGTGCAGCGAGGCCCAATGTATGGGCCTCTCCAAATCACTCTTGAAAAGGCGAGATTTGTCAAGAGCTGTTAGAAGTTCTCAAGAATTGTGTTTTCAAGAGTTTTCGGCCCCTCGCCACACAGCACTCTCGAAAGGGCGATGCTGTTGGACGCAGGATGAAAAACGACAGTCATACAACTTTGTTTTTTTCGCATGGCGTGAGGATTGTGACGCGCAAACCTCACGCCCTGTGCTGTCTTTCGTTCGGAGTGCTAGAGGTGCGGAAAAGGGGCCCATAAAAACAGCAAGATGGGGTGTGCCAAGGATTTTTGGAAATTGAGTGTGGGGACACAGACGGAACTGAAATCCCCCGTGTTGGTCCGATGAAGTAAGTCGACTGTTTTTCGCGCGTCGCAAAATACCCGCTGGAGTTCGGCGCGAAAAGAGAGAGAAATACAAATTCAATCAAAAAAGTATTGTCGGACTTCCCACCATGCTACGGCCCTTCGTAGCGAAAAGGCTTCGGCACGCTTCGCGTGTCTCGTCTTCGTATTAAGTCCCGGCGTCGTTCACCAGTCAGTTCTGAGTCCGACGTGGTAGGCCTCAGTCGTGTGGCTCTTTCTCTGTGTTCGTCTTCACTCCGTACGCGGTAGTGGAAACCCTTGGATTCGTAGCGCTCAAAGCGCTGGCACTCGGTGCATAGAATCCGAGGCTAGTGGGGTTCTACTGCCGTCTACGGGATGACGATCAACTCGTTAAATGACAACAATATCAAGTAAGGTGGAACGTGTGTATCGATAATGACAAACCCAGCCTCTACGAACCCTGAACAACGATTTTTTGGAGGGAAGTAATATGTGTCCTTTCCTCATCGTAAGGAAAAGGTCGCACCGATACGGGAGATACGGGAGGCTGACGCCCGATCGAAGGGCGTTTGTCAGTCCACATGTCAATCAATTGCAAAAATCTCAAGACGTCATAAAGGAAAAACACCTGCACGATCACTAATCAATTCTTTTCGACACGAGAGAGAGAGAAAACACTCATTAGTTTGATTATGCATGTAACTAAGGGACCGACCCGCGACTCAGGTTTAGTAAGCCACTGCGGTGTTGATCCAAGGCGCCTTGTTTCTCAAGGCTGCCCGGTATATCGGTTGCAGATGTCGTGCAGCATAAGGCAAATGGCATGCGCAGTGCATTCAAAACTACAGATCTAAACACTCTTGCATTCTCGAACAAAATCCCGTCGAGAGCTGCGTCTAATCAACACAAAAAGGCAAGTATCTCCATACATACATTCACTGTGGAAGGTGTGAAAATGACAGGGGTGCGCAGGTTGGAAATCAACAGAGGGAATTGTACACACGCATCCACCGTTCACAAGACAAGAGGATCAATTCCTCGACATTCGGGGATTATCCAGGAAACTAATGGAAGAGTTCCGGAAGAAGTTCCTTCACACAGGAGAGCACACAATTTCATTTCATTCATGAGAGGGACAAGCATCAAGACGCATCGTCATTCAAAGATAGACGAGAGAAAGAGAGACGAGGGAGGAATGTCAAGATAGGAGATGACAAGATCCGAAAAGAGGAAGTTCGGCGTTGCTGCCATACACTCACGCCGGAGATAAAGATCCGCAACAACAAAGGCGCATTCGCCGTGAATTTCAATATGGCCCCGGGCCAACCACTCACTGTACTCCAATCATCGATCCTCATACCCGCACCGATGATCCCAGCCGCCGCGTGCTAACTCCCACCACTGCGATCGTCACCCCGGCGACGTAAACTCGACGTGGTTCGCCTAGACCCCACAGTCTGTCGTGGCGATCAAGCGCGCAAACGGTCAGCCTATCGTCAGCCCGACTGGACTTTCCGACTCGCACCAAACACTCTGCCTAGCCACTGCTTCCCGGAAGCTAGCTTGGGAGTCGAGAACGTAAGAGAGATTTGCGGGGGCGTTTGCGGAATTTATAGTGGCGAGAAGGGGGGTAAGGGAGAGAGAAGGCAGGGGGGAAATCGAAGTGTAAGAAAAGAAGCAGGAGGAGAAGACTTGGCGAGGAGCGCGCTACGGAAGCCAAGTTGATCCTTCGGGACTCTGAGCTTCGTTAATCAGATTCGTTGCGCAATAGGCAGATCCTATCGTACCACGCATCTGATTGGTGGGCGAGAGTAATCGAAGGATCGACCGGGCTTCCGAGTCACGTTCGGAAGGCGAAAGAAAAAAGGGTGCGAGAAGTAGCGCAAGACGGGTTCAAGATTCAGATGATCAAGAAAGGGAAATGGGCGCGCAACCGACCAGAGCGGGAGAGAGAGAGGGAAAACAGTTGCGAGAAGGGAGGATGAGAAGGAGGAAGGAGGAAAGAGCGTGGGAGAGAACGATGCGGGAAACAGAGCGGGGGGGGGGAGAAGAAAGCTTCGCATGCTACTGGCTCGTGCTGCTGGAATCGTTGGAGGTCGTCCAGGTGACGCCATCATCGTCCGCTGGTTCTCCGTGTGCTCTGCACCCCGGCTCGTCGCGGCCCGTCGAATCAGAGTGTAGGTTGACGTCATCGTCGATGGCGTGATCTTCGCGAAACTTACTAATTCGTGCCGTTTTTCCTTGTCGATTGGGTGAAGGGAGGGGGGGGGGGGGGATAGTCATGCGGATGGGTTTTACTGCCTTGTTGGAATGGGTCAGTACAGGCGGTACATGGTGGGAAGTTCGCGGGGACGACGGGGAGGAAGTGGGGGTAGGTAGCGATGCATCCCTTCTACTGTCACTGGAAGTTCCTCATAGCGAATGATCCGGTGAAAACGAGGGAAGCGATCGCCGCTCTGAGGGAGAGGCGTGAGGTAGTCGCGATAGAGGGAGGAGAGGGTGCGGAAGAGCGCAGCGCGAAAGAAATCGTAGTAGCGACAGGCGGGGATCGTCCGCGTGGCTACGCAGTAGACTTCTACTACGTTGCACTGCTCCCACGCAGTGCTGAACAACAGGATATGCAGACAGAACGTGGGGGCAGCGGGTTGAAGGGAGCGGTGGGGGTCGACGGTAGCGATTAGACGCATAGAGTAGAAATCACGGAAGAGATGGGGAGGGAAGGGGTGGCGGGGGAAGGTGACGGGGGTGTGGATCTGCTCGAGGGTGAGGTAATCAAGGGGGCGGCGGGATAATGTCTGGGGACGAAGGCCTGTCCCCCGCATCGATACGTGGACGAACTGGGGGACGGGTGGGGCTGGAGGGGGAGGAGGATCGGCTTCGTCTCCGCCATGAGGGGCTTGGGGTGGCGGCTGCTGGGTCGCCATCTTCGGGCTTCGACGGCTCCGGATCCCTGGTCGGATCGTTACCGATGCGCAGGCTTGCTCCGCTGGCGAATTCCAGCTGGCGTTTCCCGGTGGCAATTTCTTTCTGCTTTCGCGCTGCCTCAGGATCTTCCGCCTCCGTGCCAATACGCGTTGCTTCCTCCGGCAAGGCTTCCCACTCAGACCCGGTTTCTTCTTCCTCTTCTTCTTCTTCTTCGCTCTGCTCGCCTTCGCTATACTCGCTATAGCTTCCCTCTTCCGATGTTTCCTCGTCGTCGTCACTTTCCTCCTCTTCTATCACCACCTCCTCTGCCTTCGGATAGAAAGCGTGATCGATGATGCCGTATGGCTTCAGATACTCCTGCCGCGACGGTAGAGAGTCTTCGTCCCCAGGCTCTTCCAAGCATACACTCCACTGAAGATACGGATCCAACGTTCGCGTGAGTACGTGCGGAGCGGGGCTGTCGTCACTTTGCGAAACGATGTCAGGAGAGAGATCGTCCGCCAGTTGCACGATCGACGCGATGAGTTCTTGAGCGATTAACTGGCGATGTCCCGGCCGCACCAATCCGAAGAAAAAACCGAGGAGATCACCCTCCACGTTAGTCCTCCAAGCTTGTATGATCAGCAATTCCAGATTTTCGAGACACGCGGGATGCTTGCTGGTCCGCGTCCACGTCACCTCCAATCGAGCCAAACACATGGACAGTTCGACAAAGGTCTCGCGCCAAAGTCGCCAATGCCCGGGATTAAGAAGCGGGACGGAAAGGGGTTTAATCGAGAGGGAAAGATGAGGATGAAGATCGGACTGCCAGAAGGTAGGAAAAAGAGAGGGGAGACCGAAGATGGAGAGAGGAGCGAGAGGGGCGGCGCGGTTCATCGAGGGCATGGGAAAGCAACGAGGGTGGGGATCGCAACCGCTGGCTCGCGCGGAGAGAGGCGGACCCCGTCAAGATCAGGTGCAAATGCCGGGATGAGATTGTGCCCTGGTCGGACAAGACCGTGCTGCCACACGTTGGACACCTGCTTCGTCCACTCTCGCAGCGAGGTCAAGATCGCGGTGTGCCACGGTGGATTGACCGTACTGATGTCGCCGCTGAAAGCCGCGACCGTGGTGACGTGACTCGTTCCGGGAGCCGCTCGCCGATGTACCGCTACCACCTCCCCCAATACTATTGACTGCGAACTCCCTTCGAATCGAAACGTGGCGGCTGCAGACACACCCACGTCGCAGAAGAACTGCGCCAGACGCCGAAGATCCATACTAAGCCGTGGATGACGAACTTGCCGAATTTTCGAGATGTGGCCACGTGGCTGCAACAGTTGATCATCGAGAGCCCGCTCCATGATGAAGCTCATGGCGAGGACGAGGAGGAAGACGAAGGGCAGGAGGGAGAGAGCGGAGAGAGAGTTAAATCGTCATCGTTCTCCTCGCCTTCGGAAGAGGAAGAAGGGGGAAGATCAGAGGGAGGGAGAGGTCGGAGGTAGGAGGTATGTCGGACGATGGGGACAGAGCTATGGCTGGCACCAGCCTCGGGTGCGATGCGCACCGTGTTGACGCCGTTGGGTCCGAGCTCGACAACGCGAAAACAGCCAGAAAACTTGGGAGCGAGTTTCCGGTCGCGCGCACATTTACGTACCTGCACTAGGTCCTCTAATTTATATTGATGCTGGGGCCCAGCATTTCCATTTCGAGCCTCGTAGCTACGGACCTGTCTTCCGTGGGCCTGATCAGTCATCCTCTGTCTTTTTCGGGCTAGCTTCGGGACGGCCCGTTCCATTAAATCGGTATACGTTTTGGCCTTGGCCTTGAGGGCGGCACGCGTGTCTCTACCCCCTGCTTCGGTAATTTCCGAGTTACCCCGGTAGTCGACACAGGGGAGGCTATTAGTGCGAAGCTGAAAGGGGGTGAACCCCGTGGACTCATGAGGGGTGGCCCGGTGAATTCCGACGATCTGATACACGATCTCGGGCCACGGAGGCGTGTCCTGTGCTGCTAAATTCCTGCGAAGGGCGGTTTTAATCATACGGTTGGCATTTTCGGCCAACCCGTTCGACTGAGACACGTGGGGTGCCGTATGTCGGAGCGTGATGCCCCTTCGCGCAAGCAATTCCTCTACTTCGCCTTTGAATTCGGACCCATTGTCGGTCAGAATTTCTCCCGTATCTAGATAGGTATAGAGGAACCGATCGATGTATGTGGCTATTTCTGCGGCCTTGGAGGTCTTGCAGGGGTAGACCTCGATGTACTTGGAAAAATGATCTATTAATACTAAAAGGATAGAATATTCACAGCGGTTTGGGCTAGGTGGCACGTCAATATCTTTCGTGTCCATACTGACTCGCTGGAAGGGGCGTTCTACTTCCGTTGGTACTATCGTGTTTGGTCCCCATATTAGGGCGCGATCAGCGGCACAGATCAGACAGTTGGCGACAACGTATCTGACATCATCTCGTATATTGGACCAAACCATCGGTTCTGGTCTATAGTTGCCTCTGTGACACGTATCGCGAAATGAGCGGCCTGCTCTTCGTGAGCAGATCGGGTCCAATCATATCTCAGGAATGGATGAGGAACCGTCAACCACGAACCCGATCCGTCAGTTTTACGCTTCTCCAAATGACCGTTGATCCATCGATAGTCTCGAGATCTCTTGGTAGCCCTACGTCTGTCGTGTTTGGTGAGGTGACCCAATGATAATCCTGCTAAGTTAGCTAATAAAATTTTATCCGTCCAAACCTCCGCTCGATGGTATTTCTCGTCATATTCAGGTTCGTCCGTTCGGGCAGCCTCGAATCGAACCTCGGTGGGAAGTTTGGCCGTTCTACACAGGGGGCACCTCCACTCCTTGCTTCTCGTCCAATAGCGAACGCAGGCCCCGTGCACACGATTGACACACGTGGCACATTCTACCCAATCGACAAATCTGGTTTCGAAAGGATGACAGTCAACCCCATAAACTCGTGCAATACATGCGCAAAAATAGGAGAATTTATCGGGGAGGGTGGCAAAGAAAGCGGAGGAGGCAAGAGGGGCAGAATTACCAAGAGAAGAGGGGGTCGCAGAGACGGATGGGGTAGTCATGATGGCAGAGAGGGAGAGATGGGACTGAATTGCAGAGGGGGCAGAACAAAAAATGGACCCCGTGTCACTTACTCCTTTGACAGGATCTCCACTTGGCCGTATCGAGGTCCGTTCTCCTTCTTCGGTTCGTTCCACGGAATCACCTCCTCATTCTTCGGAACCTTCTCAGGTCGGTGCAGTCGTGTCAATCCGTCCGCATTCCCGTGCCTTTCGTGTTTCCGGTGACGAATGTCAAAGTCCATGCTCTGCAGCACCGTTGCCCATCGCCCGATCATGCCCGAGTAATCCTTAGATTTCTTCAGGGCTAGCAGGGGCTCATGATCGGTTACCAATGTGAACTTCCGCCCATACAAGTAAGCTCGAAAGTGACTAATTCCCCAGAGAGCCGCGTAGCATTCTCTTGTTGGAGCGGCGTAGTTACGCTTGCAGGCGGGCACCGATTTGGACACAAACTCCACCACGTTCTCAAGTCTGCTTGGTCCCACTTGGGCCAAGATCGCCGAAATTGCCTCTGGCTGCCAATCAGTAATGAGGACAAAAGGCTTTTCGGGATCCGGCCTTATAAGGACCGGGGCCGAAATGAGGGCGGCCTTGAGTTTCGAAAACGCTTGATCATATTTCGGCGTCTAGATCAACGGTTGGTCCTTTCGCAGCAGATTCGTGAGGGGTCCCGCAATCGTCGCGAAGCCCTTGATAAACCTTCGATAGTACGAGGCCAGGCCCAGAAAGACGCGAACCTGCATAATAGTCGTAGGCACCGGCGCATCTTTGATAGCTGCCACCTTTTGCGGCTCCGGTATAAGTCCCTGATCTGTTACCATGTGTCCCAGGAAGGAGATGGTAATAAGGAAAAACTGACACTTCTCAAACGCCACCTTGAAGCCTGCATCTCGTAACGCATGCAACGCCCATTGGATGTGTTGCACGTGCCCTTCGTAGGAACTCGAGTACACCAAAATGCCATCCATATACACAATCACGCAGTAGTTAATGATACTCTGCGCCAAACGAGTCTTCCACACAAAGTTTTGAAAGGCCATGTTCATGACTCGCTGGAAAGTTGCGGGAGCATTGCAGATGCCCATCGGACATCGAATCCACTGCCACGTACCTTCGAAGAGTACGAACGCAGTCTTCAGACGATCTTCTTCTCGAACAAGAAGATGATGGAACCCATGGCGAATATCAAACTTGCTGATAAATCGAGCACTCCCAATCGCATCCAACAACTCGTCAATCCGGGGGAGAGGGTACACATCCTTGATCGTGATATCATTCAACTTTCGATAATCGATGCAAATGCGAATTCCTCCGACCTTTTTAGGCACAATCACTACGGGAAAAGACCATGGTTCTATAACGGGTTCGATCCATCCATTAGCTTCAAATTTTTTGATCCGCTGAAAAGCGGCCGCTCTTTGAGCTGGTGAGTACCTATAAGAAACACAGCTAATGGGTGGATGATCCCCCGTAAGAATGGCATGTTCAATCACGTTAGTTAGGCCAATATCATTATCGCGCACACTTAATACTTCCACGTAGCCATTCAAAACACTAATTAGCGACTTTTAGAGTTCGGTGGAGACGTGGTTCAGGAGGGTGATTGTCGGTCGTCCAGGGATCTGAAGAGATATGTCGACCCAATCAGCCGGTCTTTCCTGTCGCTCATGGACACTGGAAAAAACGGAACTACTGGTGCGAACAGAGAAGACAGTCGCAATCATCTGCGATTCAGCAGGGCTGATCATTTTAGGTTTCCTTGGCTTCGGCATCAGTCTCTGAACCGGCCGATGTGTTTTCCACAGTTAGTCCTGTTAGATCCGCCATCTCCTGCATTAGATCGGGTACATCGCCTACCGGTGCTTCAACCTCTTGTTTAATCAAAGCGATGGTCGCTCCCATTGTTAGTAAAGATCTTGGTGGAAAAACAAAAACATCCACATATTGTTCCGTCTATTGGTAGCGTGCTCGTAAGGAAAGCGCTCCCTCGTACAAGGTGCGAGGGGGTTCCAAACCATCTGCTAGGTCAGATACTTGCAGGATGGGTTTCCCGAGGAGGTTTGAAGGACTGATCCGGGTTTCCAGAGGCGCGAACGCGCTGTCTTCCGAATCCACGTGGAAGCTTCGGGCGGTTCTGGGGCACACTCGAAACTCTTCGGGGATTTCGTGCTCGAAAAGTTCGACCAAGTGCGTCCATTCATCCTCACTAGGCATTTCTTCTTTGTACACCTGTTCCCCAATTCCACTACTGATGTTCGAGGAGGAAGGTTCCTCAGGATCGAGGCCTTGAATCATCCCTATTTGGACAGAGTTAAGAGTTCGTTTCACCGTCCGTGTGGAAATCCGCAAAGGGACAGTCTGAGGTTTTCCCTCAGTTTGCGTGAGCACCAGTTGTTTGGAGCCGAAATGCAGACGAGCACCTACCGCCATCGCCCAAGGTTATCCTTACAACATAGAATAGAAGCGCACATCTATCACTAGTGCGTTAACAAGGACGTGTACTCGTCTGACCTTCACAGCCACATTCTCAATAATACCTACGATGTTCATTACTTTCTCGTCGACAGAGACGTAATTGTCTTTGCCCGATTGAGGAAGAATGGATCTGAGTCGTCCTGTTTTTCTTACTGTATCTAACGATATAAACACTGCGGAAGACCCTATATCGATAAGGGCGTTAAACGGTTTGCCCCAAACTTCACAATCGCACTCAGCGCTTTTCCACAACATTGGCCGAGCTCGTACGAAGTGATCCTTCTCTGCCAACGAAATCGCAGCTACTCGTGCTACTTCGGGTTCACCTGTTTCAGGTTCAGGTGGTGCAACCTCCTCGCCTCCTTCCTTCTTCTTCAACATTCGCTGTACTCGCTGGTACGTGAAGCGCTTTTGATTTTTCTGACAATGTTGCAGGAGTTTATCATTTGCAGCTTCGGAGATGGTGAGCAAATGCCCCACCGGGATCGGAACACGGATATCCAGCTACTTAAGCGCTCGTAATACATCAATTTCTCCCGTCCAAAACTCGGGACCGGGATTGGATTCGCGATCGACCCATTCAAGATCATCATGGGCCGATCGGATCGCTCCGACCATACCGGCGAGATGAAGGTACTCGAGTGGATCGACCACGTCAGCAGAATCGGAGGAGGAAGAAGCTCCCGAAGTTGAAGCAACTGTCGTTGAGGGGGAGGGTTACTCATATGCAACAAGTTCCCCTCCTTCGACTGTATCCATCATCGCGGCCACTCAACAGCGATTTCGTCAAAATGGACATTTTATATTTTTTGAACGAAATTGAAATTGTTATTTTCATGTTGATTTTGGTGAATTTTTACGTTTTTGAGTACACCATTTTGGGTAGGTACCCCGCATTTGTTTATAGTTTGTGCTCATGTTGACCACAAGTTTTGCATTGCTTTCTCACACATTTTGGGGGGTGTTACAGTTTCATTCGCATTACATGAAGCTATAGGGGTCTTCATGATGGGTTTTATTGTACTTTTCTATCACATCGATTAACATTTACTATGTTTCGCAATATAATATCACGTATTTTTTGTTTTTTATTGACAAATGTACTAAGACCAGATAAACATATTGAATATCATACTCAAAAAAACACATATGGCAGGTTCAGTCAATGACACAAAACTTCATGGACATCTATAAAA